AAAAGTATAATAGGTAATAATATTCGTAAATCCTTAGAAATAATAAAATAAAATAAAAATATGTAGTATTAAACAGAGATGAAGGTATGGCGAATATTTCTGCAAGAATGTGGATTGATCTCCTTTGAATGGTTAAGCGTGAATTTATGTAAAATAGCATACAGGTCACATGACCTACTAACAAGTTATAAATACTTTAACATTGTCATGTAATTCACTCTTGAGGATGATGTTGTAACGTTGAGAATTCTAGAGTTGTCATCTTTTTATAAGGCCATAGATTAGGCCTAAATAAAATGTTTTCAATTGTGTACTAGTTTTAACATTGAATATTATTTATGATTTTAACTTTATACACAAGTGCCAAAATACAATAACTAAGAAAATGTCTGTTGGCTAATTTATATATGATAGTCATTGTTTAGTTCTTTTTAAAATTAAACTCGTAGCCTTTTTCAATAAATTGAATATATTCGCTAAAAATATTTTGTTAACAATAATATCTGAAATTGTTTGCAAAAACATTTACCAATCTGTGGTTTTCCATTGGTCATCTGTTATAGCGGGCAGTTGACGACTGATAATTTATATAATTCAGTGCAATTAATGCTTAACTTGACAGATTTATTTGATTCGGCGCATTTCATCGTGGTGTGAGAGAGGGCGCTGAATTATTTAAGATAAGCCTTAAAACTAATGGGAGAGTTTTATTCTGTAACATTGATAGAATAGTTTTCTGCGAGTCAACGAAAATAAAGGTGATATAAAACTTATATTTTTTTGTATTAATGTAGAAAAATATAATTAAAACTAACGTCCAGTTCCATGTACCAATTTATAATTTATGTTTAACATATAATGAACTCTGGATCATTTGTGCGATTCATGAAAAAAGAAACACCCTGGTATTTAAAAATACAATGTAGAAATATACTTTTTTTATTAATTTAGGATTTTGTGTAATTTGTTTCTGAAAATATAATTTTAAAACGTATACTTTATAAAATTAATGGACTCCAATTGCTTGTTAAAAAAAGGGGAAACGGCGTTTCGGCAGCTAATTCTATACTGAGGCCTTGTTCGGGTCTTAAAGTTGAAGATCTCAGTTATAGAAATTAGAAGTAGAAACATAGTCTACTTTTCTTTTAACAGGGAGTTGCAATTCATTAAATTTACTTTTTAAAACTATTTTACTTTTTAGTATGTTTTCTCTGCCTAAAGACCCATTGAAACAACATGTACACTTTTTTTTTACATTTAAAATATGCCGCTGACAGTGCCACCATACTCCATAATAAGTAATCATTTAACACATGAAGAAATGAAATCCATGAATTCTGTATCTTTACAATGTAATATAACAGAAAAGTTAATGACAAACCTTCACCCTATAAAACAGAGTGCTTCAGCATATAAAACAGATTTAATTTTTGTGAAGGTTTTTTCTAAAAAATTACATCTGAAATACTAAAGGCTTGTTCCCCATCACTGTATATTCAGTATCTCTTGCATTATGGTATGCTATTTCAGCACCAATATTCTGTATTTTAAATGGATTGATAAGTTGAAATATTTCATTAAAAGATTTACAAATAAGCTTTTTGTTATATTACATTGATAAATAATGGATTTTGTTTACCTGAGAACACAAAGTTGAAATTCTAGTTTGTATTATTAAACTCATCTCTTAAAGTTTTCATGATCCAATCTTTCCACACATTGTCAACAATCGACTGGTGTAAATGCAAGAGAGACTAGGTGTGATTTTATATGATAGACAAAGAGGAGAACACATAGGAGCATCAAATTTAAAAAACAAGGTGACAGAGGCGACCAGCTTGTTTAGGTCATCTTTCACCTACAAAAAAAGTAAGCTATCAAACACCATAGCCAAATTACATATGACCTTTAACATTCATATTATACTTTATTTAATTTTAAAGTGATGAGAAGGGACCATTTGGCCTAAGTTAACCAAGGTTTTATTACCATCTTACTCTAAACTGCATAAAGAAACCCCTAAATACGTAAATACTCTTCCAATCTCTTAAACTTCTTCAATTTTGCAGCTCCTACCACACCTCAAATAGAGCCGGGTGATTAACTGGATTAATTGATATAATTATCTGTGAGAATAGATTAGTATCACATGAATTAATCAATTAACCAAAATTACAGTAAATAGAGTAGCGTCACGACAATTATGAACTAATCGAGGATTGATGTTTCTGATTGTTACTGCTTTAAATTAATCAAAATATTGCAATTATGATTTCTCATCATCATTTTAAATTAATTCAGGTTATTCAGCTTAATGGATTAGTGCCCCAACTTAGAAAAATAATCATCTATTCCAAATTAGTGTTTCTAGCTAATACCACTTACAGTTATTCTAACGATCCAAGTCCAATGAGAATAATCAATTAGTTCGATGTAATCAAATAATTTATTAGTAAATTCCATTGGTCTTCCAGTTCTAACCTAAAAGCAAACTATTGTGTTTTGCCAAAGGCCGATTACTCTATTAAAAAAGTAACACTGCCTTAACTAGAGGTGTAACTGAGTTTTCCATATGTTAAACTTGTGTCTTCTAGTCTTACTACTTGGAAATGTTTTTAAAACATCTATATTTATGAATACTAAACCTCTAACAACCTTGAAAACCTCAGTCATGTCCACCCAAGCTCTCCTTTCAACCCAAAATATTTCAAGTTATTTCAACCTGTCACCATATTATAGCTCCTCTAAACCCATATATATATATAAAAAGTCATTCTGGTAGCTGTTCTCTGGAATCTATCCAGCAAATCAACATAATTTAAATGAAGTAACTAAAACTAAATGGACTATTCCAAATGAGGTATAACCAGCTTATAGAATGAACTGATAACCTTTTACAACATGTACCCATGTTCTAATTTGTTGTTAAGAATTGTTTTCTAAACTAGTTAAACCCTTGATAAAACACTATACTCTTTCTCTTTCTGTCGTCTACATTAGGAATTTATTTAGACACTGTATATGAAGGTAGTCATAAGTTTTGTTGAGGTAATGTAAATCGTAGCTTTGGCCTTGCTTTTGTGATTTTTGCTATAAAAGGCTTAAATTTCCAATTAGGTTATATATATATATATATATGTGTGTGTGTGTGTGTGTTACAGGACTTTAAGGAGCCTTTTGGGCTATGAAGGATGTCTTTATTCACAACCTTCTACAACATAACACATGAACAACACCAAAGCATTTTGTCCTTCAAAGTTGTCCTTGCTCATTTACCCCAGAGAAGAAAGTAATATAGATCCATCCTTTATTTTTCTAGAAATTATCCATTCTCTTAAGCTCTTATAAGATGTGAACTTTCACTACTGCCAACAACAACTCATTCATGAGCTAATCATCCTGTTAAAAAAGTAAATTCTTAATGCTATCTGAGCCTTTCTTTTCCAGATCTTGAACTTATGTTCACTTGTTTTATTCTCTTCAAGATATAATAGATATAAGAGAAAATAGGTTAGATCTTAACATATCCATGTAAAATAACCCATCCATCCTTAGAATTATTATAGTATTAGTTCTCTGAAATACCTCAACATCCTCAGTACAGCTACCCAAGAGTTTAATGTTATCATCAATTTTTCTCCAATTTGCTAATTATGCTACTATCAATATAAGTAAGGAAAAGCAAAGGCCCAACCAATGGCCTTTGAAGCCCACCATGAGTGACAAAGGTCCACTTTGACCAGGCTCCATTAATAACAACTTCTGGTTTTTCTCATCCCTATATTCCAATTAGCTGTTCTATCTCTTATCTCAATTAATATGATTTGTTAGCTGATCTTCTGTGTATTACTGTATCAATACAAGTTTAAATACATGTACACTAAGTTCTTACTTTTCGATCTTTCAAATAACAAGTAATATTCTCATAAAATTTACAGATTAGTAAGGCATGATTTCCCTTTAGTGAATCCATGTTGGCTAATTTTGATGATGTAATTATTTTACTAAATGTTGCAAAACTGCCCTTAACTTTTCCTACTACAAAAGTAAGATTATTACTTAGCCAACAATTTTCAGGGCAACTCTTTTCAGCCCCCATTTTCGATGTAGAGTAATGTTAGCAACTCCCCAGGCTTCTGCCCACTTTCTGTTGATCTCTTAAAAATGGAAAAGAAAAGCTATTGGATATACAAGACTGTTTAGTGTAACAGTTATTATTTAGTTCATTTAATGATCTAATGTTTAATTATTATTTAGTTTTCAAGAGTGTTAAAATTTTAAGAGTAATATTTATTACAAGTTTTGTTTTGTAACTCTGTAATAGTTGTATGTTGTGCATTTAGTTCAATTGTTGTAAATTAATGTCATGTTACTCGTTACTCGACCTTCTATATTTTTCTCGTTGCCTTAAGTGAGTATTGTTACATCACAGCATCTCATACTTATATAGGCAGCCAAATGAATGCATGTTGAATCAGAAAACATTAAGTTGGTGAAATTGAAGTTAGACTACATGATTGTTAGTTTAGTTGTAATGTTTAATAGAGATTAGGAGAATAATTTGTCTTGTCAAGGAGTGTTATAAAGTAACTAAACCCACCTGTGTGGACTTGACGAAAAGGAGACAATTATTTAAAGTTCTGGATACAACTGGTAACTCATGGGGTAACATAAGTGAATTTATTGCAGATTGTGTAGTAAGGAACAGAATAGAGAAGAATAATTCATTTTGTCAATTGGATTCTAAAGTAATTAAATCGGCCTGTGTGGACTTTTAATGAAAAAGAGAATTATGTAGGTTTAGATACAACTATGATATCCTATCATGTAAAGAAGTTTTGTATGTACGTTTGATTTGTTTTGAATATATATTATTTTAAAACAAATGGATTGTGTGTTGTCTGTTTATTGTTCAAATTTATTGCCAGCAAGTCACAGACACCTACTGTAGAAGAATCACAGCCTGTATTCAAAAACTGACAAAGGTTAACATATCTAAATATCTAATATTCACTTCCTTTAATTTAAAACCCCAGAGAAAACATTTGATCCTGGTGCTCAATCTATCATTAGTCTCACAATTGTTTGACGTGCGTATATTATCTATTTGATTCAGGTAAACTCCATTATTTCCCAGCATCTGTAATACTGTCAACATCATTTCTTATAAAGATGGAAGAGATGTTAAAAGTCCAGCTATCTCGTGTTAAACAAGAAACTTGCTATTAGTATCCTTAATGTCCCAATTACCATTTTAATATTATCAGCCATCTCTTTCTTACAATCCCCTTTTAAATTTCTTACTTTTTTTTTTTAACCAGGTACGTTGTTTTCCTGTAGTTTTGTAAATCTTTCATCCTATCTGTCAATTTAATCTTCTTAAACTTTAGTGACTTATTTCTTATTTTCTCCTTAATGTTAATTGTAATCCATTTAGGTATTGTATTCCCTGCTATATTTTTCTTCTATAATGAGTGTGTGCCTTTCTTGGATTAAATAAAGGCAATTTTATTTTTAAAAATTATCTGAATCTTCCCACAACTTTTTAAACTCATTATCCCAACCCACTAATGACAAATCTTGACTCTAATTCTAATTTTGTTTATCTCAACATTTGGAGAAACATCAAGTTTAGTTTTTGGAATATACTTATCCCCTCTCACACTACATCTACTACTCAACTGTTAGGATTTCATTACCTTTGTCCATCGAAGCATTGGTCAGATTTTTTCTTGATTGCTCCAGTCTTTTATTCCCC